ATGTTTTGTTAACTGCTGTTTATCGCCACAGTACGCGATGCGAAAGTCTCACAAATATGGCGATTTACGGACAAAACTTCAGTCTGACTGACTTTGTTTTTCAAAGCTTCCTTGATTTGATATTGACTAATCATTGATAAGCAGTATAACCCTTTGTTTTCTATCACTCGTGCCCAATAATTCAGCAGTTGCCTAATACATTTTTCAAAACATCGTAGGCTGCTTTTCGGAAAGTTTCAATTACAGCATTCGAGTGAGGCAGAATTATCGGAGCTCCAAGCTTTTGAATGATGTCCAGAGTACAAATAGTTTGTAGTTGGGTGTTGCTGGCTAGGTGAATACTCGTGTTGAGGTAGAATTTTCCAGACGTACTACGAAATGTTTTCTGCGTGTTCCATGCAACATGCAATTGGCTGCTTTCATAGTCCGCCGGCCGGCGTGCCGGCGCACGAGGCAGTGCTAGGGGGGAGGAGGGCGGCAGACGGTCTGTCAGCCCCTCGAAGGGCTGTAAACAAGGAGAGACAAGATCAAAAACCTTCTGTACGAGCCACTGGTTGTTTGGTTCTTGATCTTGTTCTTCTTCGTTTTCAACCCCTCGACCGACCATCTGCCGCCCTTCTCCCCCCTAGCACTGCCTCGTGCACGACGGCCGGCCGGCGGACTATGAAAGCAGCCATTAGCATTATCTATTGCTACATATATCGCTGATTTCTCAGACTGTTACCAGATAATTTTCAGGTTGTTGCCCCAGAGCACAACGAGTTCCTACAGTTCCTGAGCCTAATAAGTGGCTGTCACCGTAGCACGACTTGATAGCAGCTCGAAATGAAACAACTGTACCGTCCCATCAACTGCAGAGCAACAACTCTTCGTAGAAATCATGAGTTGGCAACTCCCCGGCAAACGCCTCTGTTCTTATCTTGTTTGATTAGCTTGGGTTTCATCTCCAGTAATAATTGCCCTAGAAAAGCTCTCAAGCGAGGATAACGGATCAGAAACCGGCAGACGCTTGCACTGTTGATCTTTTCTGTTGCCTGATTGTAAGCTGACAAAGCAGCGAAACTGCAGGAACTGTTCCCTAGCCGCAAAAGTGATGAGGTTCTCTGATTGCAAAATGCAGTACCGCAGGTGATAAAGATGCTTGTCGCTTGGCAGCCGTAGCTTCAGCGCTCCTTTCGCCACCTCATTGGTAATGGAACAATCTCGACAGTAAGATTCCTACACCCAGCTTCAAACCCTTCCAACCAGCCAGACACCGCAGAATAGTTGTAAATACCTTGTTCCTCTTGTGCGCCTTGGAGAATTCTGTCCTTACATCGCTATTGAGTCATTCGGGTGTACTTTACTGTACGCCCATGAGCAGTCTTCTCGAACATTCGTAATCGGCGACATAAATTGCGGTTATTAAAGGCACAGTTCATGATAGAAATGGCTTCCGAGATTTCCCTATAGTATGACTTCGAGGCTCCCCTTTATACCATACCGGCTGTTATAGGGTCGAAAAACGTCATCGACAGGGCAAAATAAGGGGCTACAGATTGTGAAGTGTGAGTGCCACACCCATCGTAAACGAATTTTCACGGCTTTGTAGAGGCTGCACTATCTCAAGCTCCTATGTAGGAAGTTCAAACAACTTGTCATGACTTATAGCGACAGTGAAAGGTAATGTCGTACAATTTCGGCTCGATTTAGTCATCTCTTCGAGCGATGTGAGCAAGTGAATTTCGTCCAAAACCCCTCACATGCCATTCCTGCGCGGTGTTCTCGTACAACCTCCACCTCCACTACTTTTAAAAAGCCGTGAAGTAGGCAGATTTTTTGGCTTTCTTCGCCACCGATGTACTCCTTCCTCTACATCAATACTCCCGCTTTTCAATCTAAAAAGGGTACTCAAAATTATCGTAAACTGTACCTTTAAAGTATGGCGTTGGCGTATGCATCAACCTAATGTTTTCGAGATATTGCTTCTTTGATTTATGATCGGTCGTCGAACCCTGCATGCTTGTAGAGTAGCTTTCCCTCATGCAATAATCTCTCATTTCCGTTGTGCAGACTTTTCCGAGAAGTTTTTAGGTTCGTGACAGTGGTAAGGCTAGACGATAGCAATCGAAGTGGACAGGGTCTTCTTTTTTCTGCAGCAGGAAACTTCTACTGGCTTTTTTCGTCCTTGTATTACGACAGGCAGAGCAATTGTGGGAACGACGGTAGACAGTAACTGATGAGTAGGCTGTTCTGATTGTTCTAGGACCATGTGCTATGTTTCTATTTGATTTTGAAGCACCACGATATAGCCTATTGGTCAGGGGCAGAGGAGAGTTAACGTAACGGCATAAGGTCCTCTATAGATGGTGGCTCGTGGCAAATTTACCACGGAAATCGTTTGGTCTATTTTCTTAGCTAACTCATAGTGGTTTACGGTGCGGAAGACTTTAGCCCTTTCACTTTTTTGGCTTGAAGATTCAGCACCTTGACGGAAATTAGCTTTCTATCTCTGTTTGAAAGAAGATATTGAAAGCATCAGAGTCGAGAATGTGTGTAGAAGTCTCCATCGATGTCTGCCAGGAATCAAGTCCTTGACAGCATAATACCGTACCATTACTCAAGCAACATCAAAGTATAAATTATTTCAACCTCTGGCCCGTTTTTCCGAGAGAAAATCAAACGCTAACAAGGAAAATCTCCATAATTATGGTTAAGTTAGTTTCCGCACGAACGATTTTTTTAGGAGATGCATACACAAGAAAGAGCAAAGTATGAATTTCAAGAACTAGCTCGATGAGATAGTTCTTGAAATCACACTCGGCAGCTTTTTCCCCGTTCACGGGAGTTCACCTTCCCGAGAAACATGATTTCGATGACGTTCTTATCGTCTCCACGTTTTCTCCCTTAATAGGATCAACTGGATCTAGAATGGGACGAGTTCAGCTCTCCGCAATGCTGGGTGCTTGTTACCACTTTGTCCCCGAATATTGTTGGATGGCCTTCGTAGAAATATCCCTACGGTACCACGGAGGAGTGGTGTCTACTTCGTTAATGTTGCGTTGTTAATGCATTGCTAAGTCGAAGCAAGTTGGCATTGCTCATGGAACTCGGCCAAGAGCATCCAGTTTTATTTGGCTTTTTAGATGTTATGAAGTTTCGGATACTCTCCTTCTAACGTGCGACACTTTCTTATTATCATTAAACTTTGACATCGTTGTCGGGTATGGGCTAAGGAAGAACTTAGAGACTTTAGCTTTTGAGAAACCGGACCAAAAGAAGCTCTGGTGAAGGGGCACTCACAAATTAGTGTTCAATTTCGACTCCCAGTGATCGGGCATTTTTTAGTTCAGTTGTATTTTTAACCTATGAAAGAACGCTGAAAATCAGTCAAACAAAGTATCCACAGAAGATCTTGGTTGTGTAGTTCAAGAAATGATTACTCGCAGCCGAGCTACTCACTAGCAATGGCTTATTCTACCCAAAAAATCAAGTGGCGTCAGTGTGGCAACGATTATATCATCTGCTTTCAAGAATTCATAGAGGAGNAAGGGGCACTCACAAATTAGTGTTCAATTTCGACTCCCAGTGATCGGGCATTTTTTAGTTCAGTTGTATTTTTAACCTATGAAAGAACGCTGAAAAGTCAGTCAAACAAAGTATCCACGGAAAATCTTGGTTGCGCAGTTCAGGAAATGTACTCGCAACCGAGCTACTCGCTAGCAATGGCTTATTCTACCCAAAAAATCAAGTGGCGTCAATGTGGCAACGATTATATCATCTGCCTTCAAGAATTCATAGACAAGTGCACGCGAATCCCCTTACAGCACATTATTCTTTACCGCGAACTTGTTTGCGGTACTTTCATACACATCTCACCTTCCCGATAGTTCTGATTTTTTCTGGGCTTTCTGAAGTTTCTAAGGCTCTCGTATGAACTCGCTCTCTCACTCCTCTCTTGAAGCCTTATATTTTTGGAAATCCGTCGATTTTCCCTCCTTATTGGCCATTTTTGCACTATTCTGTCTCTATTCATTACTTTGCCTAAATCAGGTATCTCGAATTTATCGCGAACTGTGTCTTTGAAATTTTCAAGTCGTGCGATTTACCATTTTGAAGGTATCAAACTCTTGTCGAATCAGCAAAATTTTCAAGGGACCGTTTCTTTGCATTTCATTCATTTTATTCTCGGGTGCTCCATCGATTTGCAGAACTTTGATGTCCTATTTCATTAGCAGGCATTAATTTTGCAAAACAATTCATTTTCATCCTGGCGAGTAATATTAACTGGGCTCGAGGGGACAATAGCCCAAGCCCAACGCAGTAAATGGGATGCCTGTTGCATGTGAGGCTGGAGTTCTCTTCCAGAATCACTCACGGCTCGTGCAGGCCAGCTTTGATCTTAACAGTTCCGACATAAGAAGGCTCCTACAACTTATTCACAATAATCATTCAACGCTCCGTTTATTTTCGCCCATGTTGCTGCTTATTGAAGAGTCGGCGGTATTTTGTGTTTATTTCAGATATGAAAGATCCTATAATATGTGCTGAGATGGAAAAAGTGCCAACAGATCCTCTGTACATTGCGATATTTTCATTTTACACACTTAATTTTACTCTATCATTATTTATTACACCTGTTGTATGGTATCGTTTCTGTCGTCATACGGCATTCCATATCAATGTGAAGGTAAGATTTTGAAGCTGAAGAATCATCCATAGTAGTGTGGACGCTGTATGTTAGAGTCGTCCCCAATGCAAAAAAGGGAGATCTAGGAGAAAATGCTGTTTTGTTCTTCTGAACTTCGACAAAAGAGTAGTTTCGGGAGTTTATCTATGAGCACCTCTTGATGAACCTCTATGGTTATTGTTCTCATGACCTTGTTCATCAGAGACTTCAAGAATTGAAGCTAGCGGTTTCTAATTCGGCTTCAAGCTGAGGTCTGAACGTCGTTTGGTCAGGATGAGTCTCAAATGTTTTTTGGCATCTAAGCTCTGGCGAAGGCGACTGACCGAAACGTTAGCCGAATAAACATTGTATCATCTTGGCCGTGGCTTCAGAGAAACCCCCTAAGTTATCATCTATACTATGCCAAGATTAAGTGATAGTCGAACATGGTTGGTTCCAAATTCCTTCAAGAATGACGCGCATGCCTCTTCTGAGAGCTTCCTCGGGGGCCCTCTGGGAATGTACTTTCAGCAGCATAGTAGATGTTCCAATTTCTTCGTATACTATTCATGCATCGTAAATGAACACAAATCGCGCAGGTGAATTCAACTGCTGTCATTTTGACGACATCGTTTTGAAATGCACCTTCCTATTCCCCCTTAACGCGTTCAGTAAGGAACTATTCATTCACCTGTACCATCACTAAGAAAATAAACACTTTTGTCTCATCATGACTTTGATGACTAATGAAAAACCTAATCGACATAGCTTCAAAGGCACAGTGGCGATAGTTTCAGGCTGTCCGGTTTCAGACGTGTAAGCGATAGTTCAGAACAGCAAAAAAGAAAGAAAACTGGAAAATCGGTTTTAGAGAAATATAAGGCTCGAAAAAGAAGAAATATAAAGGGTTGGACGACAATGATACGAAAAAAGATGCATGGAAGGGTCTTTGGACGAGATCCAGCTGGCTGTAGTTCGTCGCCTGCGTGCAAGGTGTGGGTCCCTCTTCGAACAGCTTTCTCAACAGCTTTTACAACGCTTAACAACTCGTCCACCTTTGAAGTGCACGTAGGCTAAGCCGTTTTTGGGCGCTCTTTTCAAGCCCTACCCTAACTGTTGTTTGATCCGACAGCGTCCCTTAAACTATCCTTGGAGGGCACAGTTTCATTCTGAGGAGAAATCTCAGAAGCCATTTTTGAGGTGAACTGTGTCTTTAATTCTGAAAAGCGCTTCTCGTTTGAAGGCAATCTTTAACTTGTCACATTTTTAGGTTCGAAGCATAACTACCTCGTACCATTTCAGATCCTCATCTCAGTTCTCTTCAGTTTCGGTGTCATATCCAGTGCATTCGGAACAATTAACTATGTAAGTCACCTCGAACACTTCGGAGACTCATTTTTTGTCGTCCATTCAAGATGTTCTCCTAACCATGGTATTATGAAATTATGCTTACCGATTTTTTGTACGACTCTCGTTTCAGTTATTTCACATGTACCATGTTGTTTTCCCAAGCAATCCATGTTCGAGAATATTCTATACAACAGAATGTGCGTGGTCCTTCTATTCGCTTACGTGGTGCATTTTCGGGTTCATGCTAGCTCAGGTATGTTTTATGACCTTCGAGGGCTCGGTCAGTGACTATAGTCAAAGTGCTGATGCTCACATTATGACTTTAGTACTAATAGCGAAGCAGACACTCGAGATTTATGAAGATTCAAAAAACATGGAAACTTTTCAGCTTTATTTAGGGACATAATGCTTTCCGACAACAAGGTGTCCGTTTTGACTCTGAAAACCTAATAAGAAGGCGAGGGCAAGCGTCGTCTGGGTAGTGTGAGGAATAGGAGCATGGTGCCCGGATAACGCATTCATGACTTCAAGTCCCGTCGAAGGCCAAAGTTTTGTACAAAGCTCACTAACTTTATGAATTGGCTCACTAGATGAGATAGTTTCAGATGTGTATAGACAGGCTTACACCCATACTGCCAGAATCGTTACTAAAGACCCCTGTGTCAGCTGGCGTGATAGAGGTTATAGCGAGTAATGCGCTGGGATAATACAACTTTGAGACTTCAAATCTTCTGAGCCTTTTGCAAATTAAAAACCCTCGTCGTATCTGTACCCTACGCTTGCAGCGAGGATTTGGGCATTACTATCACGACTGGTACAACGTAGGATGGCAGAAGTAATGCTCCGATGTAACATCGCTGTGTTCGAAAACGGAGAATGTATAGCGTGATTTTCGAACAGAACAAATTGGGTGCTGAGTAAGTATAATGTGGGACGACTTTGTTGCGCGCGTCCGTCGAAACTAGGTCACGCCGCAGCCGTCGCAAGCGGCGCATCAACCGCGATTTTTGACAGATGTCGCAGTTGTCAGTGGAGCATACGATTTGCGCTTGATCCACGGCAGTCAGCCCGAAGAGAAGATAACACGAACTAAAGCANCGTTTGGTCAGGATGAGTCTCAAATGTTTTTTGGCATCCAAGCTCTGACGAAGGCGACTGGCCAAAACGTTAGCCGAATAAACATTGTATCATCTTGGCCGTGACTTCAGAAAAACTCCCTAAGTTATCATCTATACTATGCCAAGATTAAATGATAGTCG